GCGTCGACAGCGTCGTCGAGCGTGGTACGCGTGCGACCACCTTTTTTTTCTCACTTTTTCTGCCCTTCGACGTGATGTAATTGTTCACGTGATTTTGGAACGCGAATTTGGGATTATATCAATGCAAATACAGATAGGGAATTATTCAAATGAAAAGGTAGATGGTAGAAATAATCTTTTTTTTTCTTTTTTGAATCGTTTCTGTTTTTCTTCTTTTTTAGTTTCATTTTCGACACGAGTAGGAATGTTCCCCCGTGATGCACATTCGTCGTGGTGACGTATGAACACGACCCCCGCTGTGTATATACAGGAACTTGTGGTAAATGAATTTTGCGAGTGTTAACAACACTCTGTCGCATCAATCATTCCATTAAAAAAAAAAAACATTCATCTTTATTATCCAATTAACACGTATTCTACTTTACTCTAGATCCATCGGAGAAGTCAAGAACCTAACCTAAGAAAAACATTGAAACGCAAATCGCTGAAGGGTCATCGTCGTTAGTGGCAGCGTGATAATTCGCGAAATTTCATAATATCACGAGTTGAGCTCGAAGGAGAGAGAGAAAGATAGAAGGAGAACGATAGAAGAATACGGGGCCGTTTCTCCACGGCTTTCATTAATCTCACTTCCGCGGCGGAAGTCGGAAACAGTTTTCCGCTGGCAACCTTTTCCCTTTTGACCTGGTAAATTGCGCTCGCGCAATGGGGGTTAAGTCCCGGGCTTGCAGACCCTCAGCAAATATCCAATAACAGCCAGCCAACTCCTGGTGGCTTCTGCTCTCTTTCTCACTCTCTCTCTGTCTTTCTCTGTACCTGTACGTACGGGCATTAACCTTCACCTATCGAGGAGATCGGCTTACCTTAATAATCGTAGCTACACCGACGCGTTCTAAGGGGGTTACGACGTTACGGGGCCAGGAACACGCGACTCTGCCCCACGATAGGAAGGGTGTTTCCATGGCGCTGCTCGCGAGGCTGGTTCGTTCCGCGCCATGGGAAACGTCCACGGATCAAAAATCATCCTGAGATGTAATGAAACATTCTTAGCCTTTCTCTCCTCTCTTTGTTGAATCAAAGGAGTAGAAGATTCGTTTTATAGGTGGTTGATTGGAGGGTTATGTTCTTCTTGTCCATAGGGTCCGGCAATTACTTGAGCCGACAGGCTGAGTGTTGAACGAGATTATATTCTGTTTGTATGTACTATATATATTTTGCAAAATCGATTAAATTGTTAAGTATTTGTAGGAGATTTTCGAATTTCTTTTATGCTCGATTCTGAATTCGTGAAACTTTCTCATTCGTATCGAAGGATGCCAAGAAATAGTCTCAAGCCAGCATAATAGAAAGGAAACAATCGTCCGCCAGTATTCTGATGACTCGTCGAATCTCGTCGATCAGCGCTTTCGTATACTCGCGTCAATCCGCGCCCTATTCAGGTGTATTCAATCCTTTGTGCAACCTCCCTGGGTTAACAAGACATAAGGGGGAGAGGGAAAGAATCGGGGAATAGGATATAATCGAGACACGTTCGATGTATTCCACACACTGTATGCTCATTCCTTTGAATAAGTATCGTTTTATTAATATCTCTGTCGTTATTTACAAAACTTTGTAATAATCTCTAATTTTCTTCACCGTCACACGCTAGTCGCTATTCGTCAATCGTTATACTTTTTTTTTACGCTTTTGTGTACCTGTGTGTGTGTGTGTACCGTGTGTAATCAGTGTATGTAACCGTTGTGTATGTGTGTTATATTAATGTCGATAATGCTCGAGTTCGCTAAATCGTTTACAGTAGAAC